AGATATATTTCTCAAAATGATGCTCGGTCAGAATCAACACAAAAACGAAAATACTCTCTCACTAATTGATACTTCGAAATATGCAGGGAACGCAAAGATAAGGCCTTTTAAATACGGGAAGCCCAATCCGTTGGACTTTTCTCAAACTACCAATCAGGCGCCATTGTTTTCAAAGACTATGGGCAGTCATAAACAGCTGTGAGTGAGTGAGAAAGAGTAACTGGTGAAAAGAACATGAAGATGTACTATATGTAACATGATTAATGTACTATAATTTTCATTATATAAAAACAAGGCCTAAAATGTATTGCAGATAAGAGTTGTCATTACACTTCATTATCATATGATGAGTAAAGGTAAGCATTTTAACATACATGTATAATACAAAATTTACTCTTTTCCAAGTTCGTAACTATTATCTGAACTCTGCAGTAACCACATGGCATTGTGTAATGATTTATTACTAATAGAATTTATTTCCTTGTATATATATATGAAAAAAATTAGCTCCGGCTGAAAAACTGCAGTAAGTACTTTCTATTAATTATGAATATTTTATTTATGACTACCTTCATGAAGAGAGCTTTATACGTAAAAATCAGCATGTTAAAAAAATATGACATGAAAAGGGTGATGTTAACTGAACACTCAATAACAGTATTTACCTGTGGTATCAGGGGGCAGATTTTCAATCTAATGCCAGGTCTTTTTTTCTCACACACACACCCACCCACCCACCCACCCACCCACCCACACACACCCAAATATTCAATAATGATATTAGTTAAAATTAAATGCTTAAAAATTTAATTAAATGAAATGAACAAACTTTTTTCATGTATTAAATATATTACATGTGACTGCGGACTTGAAGAACGTTATGCTTGAAATCGATGATAGTGTTATTATTATTATTATCATTATTACTATTATTATTGTTATTCATATTATCATGATTAGTATGATTATTATCATAATATGATAATCATAATGATTATAATGATAACAATGACAATACTAATGATAATGGCAAAAATAATAATTGTGGTAGTAGCAGTAGTAATAGTAGCAGTGATAATAACAACAACAACAACAACACAACAACAACAACAACAACAACAACAACAACAACAACAACAACAATAATAATAATAATAATAATAATAATAATAATAATAATAATGATAATAATAATAATAATAATAATAATAATAAATAATAATAATAATAATAATAATAATAATAATAATGATAATAATAATAATAATATCATCATCATCATCATGATAATAAAAATCATCATCATAATGATAATGATAATGATAATGATAACGACAATAATACTAATAATGATAATGAAAATAGTGATTATAATGACTGTAATGATAATGATAATGTTAGTAAAAGAAATTATAATAATGATTTTGATGATGATAATAATATTATTTGATGATAATAACAATGATAATGCTAAAGATTACAATAATGATATAGGATAATAACAATTGTATAACAATGGTAGTGATAACAATAGTGATAAAATATACTAATATAATATAATATATACCATACATATATATATATATATATATATATATATATATATATATATATATATATATATACAGAATAATGATAATTTTGATAACAATAACACCAATAAAAATTATAATTATGATAATAATAACGATGATGATAATGATGATGCTAATGAAAATGATGACAGAAATGTTAATGTTGATAATGAATTGATAATGATAGAAATATAGCAGTAATCATAACAATGATAACAATAATAACGATTGTAATAACATAATCAACAAGAGTAGCAACAGTAATAGTATTACCACTTACACTGATGATAATACAAATAATGATAAAGATGTAAATGTGATGATATAAACATATTAACAATGATGAGAGATAGGGGGGGGGGTGTATGATTGGTGAAAAGAACACGCAGATTAATTCATCATCTCATCTGAATTATTAAAGAATAAAATGTATTATCATTCTCATATGATAATAATTTTGAAGGTAAGCATTTCATTATTTATGATATAGAATATAGAATTTACTCTTTTCTATGCTCGCAACCACGTGACATTTTGTAATGGTTTATTACAAGAGAGAAAAAAGAGAGAGGGAGAGAAAGAGGGGTAACTGGTGAAAAGAACGCGCAGATTAATTTATCTATAATGTGTAATGTACTATCATTTGTAGTATTTAAAAACATTGCCTAAAATGCATTGCCGATATGAGTTGTCATTGCACATCAATATCATATAATGATAATTGTGAAAGTAAGCATTTTATAAATAATTTCGGAACTAGAATACTGCATTTACTATTTTTTCTGGTTCGTAATTTCTTTTCAGTCCTGCAGTAAACACATAACATTTTGCAATGATTCATTACTGATGTGAGTTAGTAACTTGTATTTTTTTCTCGCCCAGGCTGAAAGACTATGTAGTAAGTCCTTTCAAATAATTATGATTAT